CGTTTTCGGCCGAAAACGCTCACCAAGCCCCATTCTGAGAAAAAGCAAGCACGATCTACGAGAATCGCTGTTGCCCTGCATAGCGTTCCGGGCAGCGGTCACAACCAGCAAGAGAATTCCCGGCTAACAGCTTCTCTCTGGCGGGGAAGTGCAAAATTAAGTAAGTAGGAATGGGATACATTTAGCTACTAGAATGAGGTGAGGGTGAGTCAATGAAGCAGGGAGAAACAAAGAGCCTACAAAAAGTCTGGGAGATGAAAGCGGGAGGGGGGGGGAGGAGGGGATATCATGTGCAGACAGGTGCTTTTACTTCCCTTTTCTGTCTGTTTTGTCATTCTTATTCCTTCCTGATCCACCTTGATCCCTCCCCTTCTCCACCTTTGGTCCTTTCCCTAAACATCCCACATTAAGTCTTGTACACTCTCACAATCCCCTTAAAATAGCCCATAATAATTTTCATACAATTCTCTTCCCCTTGCATACCATAGCAAGTCTCACATCCCTTTAGGAAAACACCTCTTTAGTTCACATTACATTTAAGGGGAAAGAGTTTCTCCCCTTGGTTTCACCCTAGGGACAACGATCTGGTCATTCCCCTTGGATGTTCTTGGCAGTAGGCAGTTTTGCTTCCTTTTCATTGCATAGCTTGCCAGGGTTCCTTTGCCTCTCATTGCTCCTCTGACCCTCGTTGGGTCTTTGCGTTCACAATGATTAGCCTTTGATCATTTAACACAACACTACAGAGAAGAGCATCTCAGATGTGGAGCAGCTGCTTTACAGGCAGAGACTAAAAAGGTGGAAGCTCTTCAAATGAGAGGGGAGAAGGTGGAAGGGGATAAAATCAAAGTTTGCAAAACATTGAAGGCAGTGAATAAGATAAACACAGAACAGTTTTTCGCCAAATCCACATTACCAAAAGTAGAGAGCATTCAGTGAAACTGAGATCACTTTACAACTGATTAAGAAAGATCATTTTTATGCAGTGGGCAGAAAGCCTCTGGAGCTTGCTGCCACAGAAGGCTATGGGGAACTGCATCTGCAGTCTCCAAAGGGGGTTAGACAAATTCAGAAACAACAGCCCCTAAAACTACACTAAAAG